CCCCAAAACCCCAAAACCCCAAAACCCCAAAACCCCGGGTAGTGGATTTTTTGTTGAAAATTTGGGTTTTTAGTGGAGATTAGTGGGTTAAAGTGTATCCTGTGATTAGTAGCGTTAGTAAGAAACCGAAGAAGATTAGGCAATAGTCGAAGGTTTTGATGATAGGGGATTTTGCTATGAGTCAGAGATGGAATATTGCGGGTAAGGTGAATGCAATATTGGTTAAGAATAAAGATCCGACTATGGAGGTTAATCTGTCTAAACTTTCTTCAAAATAAAGTCCCATAAAAAATGTTAACGCTACTAATACAGTTCTGTTTCAATTTTTGAGCCATTTTCTTAGTGGTTTTTGGCTCATACTCTTATAAATATTCTTCTCGATAATAATATTTGTTGGATAAATCGCTAGAGGGTAAGAAATAAACAAGTTCAGAATGAATAAAACTTCTACTATATTTGGACAATAGGACTCTGACTTGGAAGGAGTCTAGTGATTAGTTTAGCATGTGCCAACCTCTCATTAGAATAAGCCATATAATTCACCAGTCCAAACCCTATCAATAATAAAGAAATAACTGCAAGCATTCAGGTAAGTATCAATCTAAATTGCTTAGGATTTCTGGTTGTGTTTTTAACTGGAAGTACAATTGTTACTCCTTCAAATGCAAATACTCATGTTCCAACAAAGACCGCCCAATTGCTCTTGTTCATAGTCTGAATTTCATTGCTAAATGTAGTAAATTTTCAAACTTACTGTTCAAAATTATCAACAGCACAAAACAGTATCACAACAAGAGCGGTTATCACAATAATAACTGCAAAAATGTGAAATTTTGCAAAATATTGGATCCTTCTGACCCATGTCAAAGGTGCATAAATGGTCAAACAAATGACACCAATGACCCATTTATTGATCATAAATCCAAAATTAGCCTGAAGTATCCCATTAACATTTTGGGATATAAATACAATATGCATTCAGACAAACCCTGTCTGAGTAAGGCCAAGAGCAAGATCTCAAAATATCTTACCGGGCTTTCCCAATGATCTCTCTCCTAGTGAAGAGAAAGATCCTGGATATCTCTCAGATACTGTGAGTAACAAATTAGTTGAAATTATAACTAAAGAGCCTACTACTAAAACAGTAGCAATGCCAAAAAGCCATCCTGCGTTGTAAAACCCATTCGGAAATAACAGGAATGTTGTTCCTACAAATCCTTTCGTTAGCGTGAAAAAAGTTTGCAAAGGACCTAGCTTCTGGATATGACTCTGGAGATGATTCCCAGTCTCATCTATTGTCAAACAACGAGGGTGGCTACTCATAGAGCTTGTCTTGGAGCAATATCCTCAGGGGTGTAACTCTAAAATGTCAGTGCCCTCATAATCATCATCTTCATCATGAAGTTCCTCTCCCATTAAATAGGTGGAATGGTAATATTCAGCTGAGACTATCTTCTTCGTATTCTTTACCCGCTCATTTGGGTTAAGCCCAGGGAGACTCTCCTTTTGCGAAAAAGCATTCTGATCAGTCGATTTGTAAATATCAACTTTAGCTTCTCAAATATTATGATTTTTAGAAGCAATCAATGGGTTAAGAACGTCAGAAGATTGAGACCTTTTAAAAATAATTCTCTCTTCTTTCTCCTAAAGTAAGCCTTTAAATGGATTGATTAAAATAACTTACTTTCATCCATTTTACATCCTTTGCCAAACTTCTGGCCTGCTGTGTGTCTGTAATTTTCTTGTAAAAGGGGCTCTGACAATTCCATTGAGAGTATATTTTTATTATTTTCAAAATGTAATTATATTTTGGGGTTTTGGGGTTTTGGGGTTTTGGGG